GATACAGCCATCACTATGAAGGCATGTATGTTATTGGTCAACCGCAATCACTGAAGCCATATGTGAGTGTGTGTTACTCAGCTACTGTGTTAGTCTAAACCTGGTCTTTTCCAATGCCAACATCTTAGCAAAAACATGCAGGTTTCAGAGCCACTGTTTAAGACTCATTCACACAACTCTTGAGGTACAAGTCCTCTGCTAGACTATTTGACCTATGCACTTGCAAATTCTGAAATCAATGTACATGTACATCCCAGCAGGCAGACTGTGATTTTAACATGGCCAGAAAAGTAGAACTATACCACAGTTAACTCAGAAAGTTGGCAATCACAGGCTTGGTCTTCAAATCTGTAACGTGAGTGAAATGACTTAACACAGAATGCAGAGAGCGTGTGTTTGCAGAACAGAGCAGTGAGAGGTGGCTGGCTTATCCTTAAGAATGTAACCTGTTTACATGTCTGCATGTAAACAGGTTATAATCTATCACCACACATGATGGGAGCTGGCTCATAATGAAGCCCACGCAGGGACTCAGACTGCAGTAAAGCAAATCAACGATGTCCTGAAATAACACAGAAGAAAATACAGTCTTCATCCAGACTTTTCTCTCTACTTCTCTGCATACCATAGGTAGCACATATCCGCATCTCTTCATATGGTGCTCATTAGCAATGCATGGGTGGGGATTTACGCTGATTGCTTAGTGTGCTGTCACTTTAAACTGATTGGCTGTAATTAATTTACAAACTAGTCTATGATTAAATCTCAGTTTTCTGCAGTGTTCCTGAATCTGGTGTAGGTTTGTATGTTTGTTGCATTAACTACATTGATCATTTTTGGAAATATTTAAACTGAAATCATGAACTTTTTCAGCACTTTATGAATTGATGCACGCAATCGCAAAATAAACAATTTTTGTGAGCCTTCATTTTAACAGTTTTTTCAAACATTCATTTATGAGAATTCAATTAAAATCTTTATTTTTAAAAGTCTAACTTGAACTTTTTTTTCTTTTTTGCAAATGCACAGCAGACACTGGAGGTGAACCTGACCCTTCAGCTAAAGCCTTGCTCTCCTGGCACCATGCAGTGCTGGTTACTGCCTGTTGTGTCATTATCAGTTCTGCTAATGCAAAGTGTTTGCCATGAACCACGGTTACCATCCACCACGTGGAAGTGATTTTCATCAAGACCTGCTTTCACCTTCCTGGCCCACTCTGATCCTGCTCTATAATTGTTGGAAAAGCAGTGTGTGTGTGTGTGTGTGGCGGGGGGGACTTTTCCTCCCTCTTTCCTCCCACGCTGGAGGAAGCCTGAGAGGGGGCAGCTGGTCCCTGTCGGCTCCGTATCTGTCAGTTCACTGTGCGTCCATCCTGCCAGCCTCCAGCTCACCCTGCCTGTAGGAAACCATAAATGTGTCAATGGCCCAGAGCGACATCTACTGTGTGATCCTGCACCAAGCCCTCCCCGGTGCCCCCTGCCAGCCTTTCCTAAATCACTCAGTTAGGACAGTAGCAGTGAATGACATTTCCCCCAGGTCCAGAGAACACTGGGGTAACTCCAACACCTTCATCGTAAACATCCAGTCTGATCCTTTGCAAATGTACTGTTTGCATTTACAGGATCACTTTTGCAGTGTTTGCCTAAACCACCACCAGAATGTCGGCAAACAAAGAATCAGTCTGAGCCTTATGTTTTTCGGTTAAACTCCAAGTTCCTCCTACAAATATCACAACAGAAAATCAACTTTTTCATGTTTTAACAATATTTTAGGGAGGTAGGAAACCACTTCATTATTTTGTTTCACATGAGAGCAAAAACAGACAGGTTGTCTCTTGGCCATCAATGATTTCTTAGTAAATTTTCAACAAAAGAACTTTGATCTTGGAGACCCAAATGGAGACATTAAAGGCAGAATATTCATTATCATTTGGGAGTTATAGCAAACTTAAAAACGAACATTTCGTGAAAATGTTTGCATATATACGAAGTTTGCAGTCTTATCGGTGATGGCTATTTTTGAGCCTCAGGAAAAGGGCCTGTATCTTTACATTTGGCAGCTCTGTCTTTGTCCTTTCCATCGACAGCATAGATCCTACAATACTTCCACACAGCTCTCCTCCGATGTTTGTGTGCCTTGATTGTCTGCTCAGTGCTGCTTTGCTCAACCACGTCTTCCATTTTTGTAGAATCACTGTAAGAATTAATTGAGATGAAGAATGTATGCAGTGGTCAAGTTACAATGTGAGTGTCCTCTGCTGGATCATTTACTTCAGACAGCACTGGTTAACTATCTTATTAAGAGTTTGAATTTCAGATGTGAAGTGGCAGCTCTGGTCTGTACACCTGTGACTCTGCAAAATAAATCATTAACTCATATGAAAGTGGTTGAAAAGAGTTATGTCGCCCACCAGGAGGCCCTAAATGTCACCTTACCCCCTGTGTGAAGATAGATGACTACAGACGAGCAGTGAGAGGTTATCAAGTGGACACCTCCCTTCATCGGTGTTGCGTCAGATTCTGTTTACAACCCCTCAGGAGGCTTAACAGTTTGCTCCGCTGACCCAGAACCCCCTCCTCCACAAAACCAAAAACCCACACACCAAAACAAAAAAAAAAAAACAGAGAGAAAAGTCCACAAGGTTGAGGGCAGCAGGGCTGAGATGAGAAGGGCTCATCTCGGTTGGCTTAGACTGTACGAACAATATGAAAGAATGTCTGAAAAATAACCATAAGAGAAAAAAGCAATAAGTTGTAAAATAGAAAAGGAAAAGTCTGTTTTGTTTTTATGTCTGTATTTTATGGAGGTCGGGGACTCTAAGAAGCAATGTAAAAACTGGAAACCTGAATCAACTTTCTAAGCCTCTAACATTGTCATGTATAGTTTTTGTGTATTAGCAACCACCTGAAGTAGTTTCAGTCCAGTACAAGGAAACAAAGAATTTAATTAAAAATTCAAATATGAGGAAAATACAAAAACTACACACATACTAAAGTATAAATGAGAGTGCATGAAAAGGATATCAATGAAAGACTAAGTGCAACACAGACACTCAAAACTAAGAAAGTTTTTGTCTCTTCTTCAGAAAAAATAAAGTTAACATTAAGTATGGCAGAGTTTAGGGCCTCGTTTTCAAAAGTTTTTTTTTACTCTTCAAGTCATTAGAAAATCCAATAATGGTACAATTTTGAGAAAATGCATAAAAAAAATAAAAATCTAAAAAAAATATAAGAAGAAAAGATGTTTTTTAGGGCCTCTTTTATACTCCACTGCACAAAAGCTATTTTTAGATGTTTCCAATTTAAGACGTTAAAAAAGAGAAGACCTGAAATATTTGTAAATAAAAATCTACCCGAAAGATCAGGAAAAATTTAAGTTACCTAAAATAAGAATAACATTTTAATCTATTAAACTTACAAGTACATTCCCACTCCGCATCAGGAGAATACTCTTTGCCTTAACAAACAATTTTGGTGTGATTCTACTCTTGAACCACTTTAAAAAAATAAGATATTTGTCTTTACCTGTCACATGAATATCACTTAAATTCGGTCAAATGGGAAAAACTTTCTTGGTTCGAAGTTTTTATATGATTGAAAGTTATAAGATCACAGACAGTATTATTGGCAGTGATGTTAAGATATGGTAAAAACTACAAGTTAGTTTGTGTTTAAGAGGACAGTGACCTGGTTATTGATGTTACATAATAAAGTTTTCTCACAGTGTGAGAAGTAAAGCTTTAAATTAATTAAAGTTTTAGTTTAAGGATTCTCCGTCACCTGTAATCCTGATGTTTTGTTACATTTGAACTTCTACTTTTGCACTCATGATTGTCCGGGACATTTTGTACTACAGAAATACTTTAACATCATAAAAAGCAGTAGATGTCTACCCCTAACTCAGAGGGAAAAATGAAACAGGCATCTCAGTGATTTTTTTTTTTTTTTTGCATTTGAATATTAATTCATGTGCACAACAGTTTTTTTTTGTTTGTTTTGGTTTTTTTTTATATTTGTGTGTGTTTGTGTGTTGGCTGTTCAGTGTGTCCTGCAGGAAGAAGCTGCTGGTCCAGGGGAAGACTGAGAGCGGAGCGGATGGCCAGCCTGTTGCTCACGGTTCCTCTTGAAACCAGGAACTCATCAGTCTGTCAACAGCCCCCTTAGTAGCCATGGACACACACACACACACACACACACACACACACACACACACAGCTGGGCAGCTTGAGATGGAAGGGGACGGTGTACGTGACACACCGCCTGTCCTGACTGTGGCAGAGGAGACACGTCTGCTCTGTGATGTGATGTCCTCTTCAGGCTGTTAGCAACCAAACAGACCAAAACAAAAAACAGGGAGTCTGAGGAGAGAGATTCAGATCTCTGATGATGATGATGATGATGATGAGGAGGAGGAGGAGGAGGAGGAGGAGGAGGAGGAGGAGGAGGAGGATGATGATGATGGAAGACCGTCTGATTTTTTGGAGGTTGTTAAAAATATGTGTTTGTGACGTCATTGTCTGCCCACATCGGTCACTGGATGGTCAGTTTTAGTGAGCATGCACCAAACCAAAACGACCCATTAACACGTTTGTCCAAATGAAATCAGTGTTTTTCTGTCATGCATGTGCTTCTGTTGGAAACAAAATGGACTTGGACATGCTCATGAGTTTGTGTAGTAGCATAAATTTGTTGCGAGGAGACTTAATAGAACAAGAAAATACTTAAAAGAGATGAAACTGCTGTATCATACAAACAAATAAAACAGAAGGTGGTTTCATGGACATCCCATTAGCCACTTGCTAACATGTTTTGTTGTACACTTGCAGAAGTACAAACCAGGCTTTTTTTCAGTTATTTGCGATTAAAGGAACTAGTAATTGTAATTAATAATCTATTGAACAAACTTTAAAAAGTATGCACAAATGAAATAACTTGCAGTGATTACACTAACTTTTTGTGTCATTAATACTCTCAGACAAAGAAATCCATGCAGCAAAGCAGTAACAGTCAAATATTTTATTTAGAAATGATTATTCATTCTGAAAATATGTTTAAGAAATCCAGTGATACATGTAAATAATCAATAATCAGGTTAAAGTGCAAAAAATACAGTTCTGATAAATGTTTCTGTACAAAAATAACGCTGGAATGTGATATTGAAACGTGCCTACGTTAACATGGCTTTGATCGTTCTCATCTTTCATATTAAAAAAGTTGCATAAGAGTCAAGTCCCTTATAAAAAGTCTTTGGATTAGAAGCTTCAGAGTTTAGTATTTTCACCGAGCAGCCACTCAGAGTTTTTTAGGTCCATTTCACATTCCTCATGTCCATTGGGTCCTCTGCCAAATCAGGCTTTGATAACTGCGAGTACGACTTTCCACAAAGGCTTATTACTGTGTTTTTTCTGGGAGATCTGGCTGGTGAAAGATTTCCTCCTTGAGAAGTATTCCCATCGCTGCGAAGGGCTCTGAGATGAAAAGTCTTTGGTTGGTCTTTTGTTGTCTTTGCTGGTGTTTTTCCAGTGTCCCTGTCCCCTCCCTGCTGGCTGACTCAATCACTTGATCTTGGCCGGCTTCAGTTCCTTGACCTGCATGTGTAATGTTTTGTGGACCGCCAGAGTCCTGGACTGACAGAAGCCCTTCCCACACTCCTGACATTTGAAGGGCTTTTCTTTGGAGTGGATGTACCTGCAGGGGAAACACAACAAAGCAGCTGGTGAGTATTCAGGAAGAATCAAGACTGAGCATAATCCTCGACTCGTTTTATGACCTTCCAACAAATGAAACATCCATGCACATTTTTCAGAAACGGACCACATGACTCTTCTCTAATTTCTGCTGATGTTTGTTTTACTTTAAGAGCAAACACAACAACGTTAATCCCAAAGATCTTAGAACTAACCGGATAAAGCTGGGATCCATTTATTAGCGAAATGAAGGATGGGTACGAAAAAGCTCTGGACTGGTTCCAGTGGACGATTGAGCCAGCATCTGTGAAACAGGCTGTAATGGCAGCAATATTATCCTTCAGGGCAGATGGACCCAATCAAAGTACGTCCACTGATGTTTTTGCTGACAGGAGGAGATTGTTAATCTGAGTGTCTGACAACATCACAGAGAGGATGTGTTCAGAGGGAAAGCAGGAACAGCTGCTTCAATGCTATTTTTCACTCTGAGCCACCAATCTGTTGACAAAAACGTCATCCTACCTTAAAAAATATCCAAGTTGTTGGTTTACCTCTGCCTGGATCTGTTTGATATTTGAAGTTCATACACAGTTGTGCAAAAAGCCCCATTCTGATTGGACAGTCACACTTGGCAGCAGCCTGTTTTTCCAGATAGCACATCCTGGCTATCAAAGACACATGGTCGCTAAGGATGCTGCTCTAATCACAAACTCTGCGGGACTAACTGTAATCATATCAGTATGCAGGAAGAAGTCCAGCTGATCTGTTCTTGATCTGTTTATCCCGATTTCCAATAAATGATCCCAAGCGGAGAAACATGCTGCTGATTCATAAACACTTGCAAAAGAAATGATGAAACAAACATGCTGCAAGAAGCTGAAACAAATGCATTAACAGATTAACAGCAATCGCTCTGCAAGTATACAAAAAAGCAGGAAACCAGGGCAAAAGACAAATTCTTCAGTGCTAACTGAGATCCATAGATGACTGAGGCTTTTTGCAGAGTTTGTCTTTTTATTTGCAATGCATTTCAGCTGTTATATTTTTTTGCACGTCTTTGTGCATTTCTAGCACATTTCTCAAAAAAACCAAATAAAAAAAAAACATAAAAGAGTCGAACAGCAAAGACAATGCAGACACAGTATGGAAGTCCTGCCACCTCTAAACAGCATACTGTGACTGTGAAGAACAGGTCCATTCAATGCTGGCAGTCAGCAGCAGTTAGTGGCTGTGCTGCAATCACACTGGAGTACTTTTGTAATGATCGAAAGTGTATTAGTGTTGGTGTGTATATCCACGAGAAGTAAACACAGCAGAGAGCTTACACACACAAATGCACACACACAGAAATAGACACATGGTCCAGTGTAGCTGGTGTTTTGATGAACTTACAGAAGCTGCATAGTTCACTGCACCCTTTATAATGGTAACCTTCTTAGACCTTCACTAAAGAAGAAAATATCTTCTTATTTTTAGCTATAAGTCTGTTATAAGTCAGTATTTCACACAGACTTAGTGTCTTTCCTAAAGTAGCTGATGGTAGGTTGTGGTCTGTTTCCACTAAGTGGTCCAGTTTAATTCATCTGATCTTCATACAGTTTGGTACAGTAAATCCAGATCTGCAGCAGACTGCTACCTTTGCCAGTGCTTTACACAGGAGGTATGTTGGCTGCATGACTACCTCACAACAGCTCAGTTTTCAGGAAAAATATTAGAAAATATGAAAATCCGAGGTATGCAATAGCTTTGTATTAGCTGCACTTACGTCACAAGTGTGAGATATAGTCTATGGATGTACTTCTGGAATGCTTCTGTGGAGGTCCTCCCCTTGTTTTTACTCAGTGCTTTTATTTTGAAGTCATCAGTGGTCCCCTTAAGGAGCATTACAGCATTTACAGTAACATTAAACTTATTCTACAGTTGTGCTTAATAACTAAATAAAAACTTATCAGACATCAATATCATAACATTTTATTGGCTTATTTTTATTTGTTTTCACAGTTTCTTTCATGGACACAGAGATCAAACTGAGCAATCTTCACAGCACAGTTTAACATCTTGGGTCCTCTTGTTTTAACATTTATGGAAAAAACCACCACAGAGACACCTCTGTCACACCCTGAAGTACACTGACGACTATAATCATTTAATTGAATTTCTAGATAATGAAATCCTCCAAAGTAAACACACTTCCTGTCATTTGGACACAGCAAATTAAATTATTGTTACTGGTCTAAATTATAGCAGGTACCACACCTACGCTGTGGGCTGTATTCAGATAAATCAAAGTTCATTAACCTGTTTCTGCACGTCAGGTTACTGTTGATACTGATGTAAACAACAGCAGAGACAAAGAGCTTATATATCCAGCAGAAATCAATCATAACAGTCTTTGACAGGCTCATTGAGCTGGTAATAAAGATCATTATGTTGATTTACGTTAAATTTGGTGGATGGTTTCTACTCTGCCGACTGTGAAACGTCTTTCTATTGAACCTCAAATCATGTCCACACAGGAGGAGTTATAGCAACAGTTTTAGTCCGTTTTTGATGAGTCCACATGGGCTGTAGATTTTCAAAATAAAAGTGTAATTTTAAACAACCATATAAACTGTCTTAATTCATCAAACGAAGAGATGATGCTAATGTATTTAGAGATGCTTATGACCTGCAAAAACCAGATCTTTAGTAACGCTGCTGGGGGTCAGTCAGGGTGATTTAAGCGTCTTTCATGTAAAGAGCTGTAAAATTTCTGGTGTTTTTAAGCGTACGACCTCTCACTGAGGTGTTTGTCGATTGTTTTGGTAAATGATATAATAGGTCAACTGGCAGACAACTTTACACCGGCACACGTGCAGCCAGTCTGGAACACATTGCATTGCACATGTATGATACTGAAGGGAATAGTTTTAGCCACATCTCTTGAACAGCAGTTTTTGTTGCCTCTGTATTATAATTTGCAGAAGTAATTGAAGTTAAAGATGGTCAGATCTTGCTTGTATCCACAACTCACCAGTTTGTTTTCCAGTTTTATGAAGTAACCCTTGATCTAAACAGAGGTCTGATTCTCACCTGTGGTCTCGGAGGTGGTCCTGTCGTCTGAAGGCTTTGTGGCAGATATCACAGGTGTATGGCCTCTCATCTGTGTGCGTCCTCTCGTGGATCAGCAGGTTGTAGGATTTGGTAAAATGGCGGCCGCAGAACTTGCAGACGAACTCTTTCTTTGTCTTGGAGGGCAGGCGTCCCCGGCTGGATTTGCGCTCTGGTGAGGACAGTTTGGTGACATCCAGGAGGCATCCCAGGCCAGCTGAAGTCGGGTGGTGAGATGAAGCCTGAGCTGCAGCAGCGGCTGCAGCAGCCCCAGTCATACTCAGGTCCTCCGCCTTCAGGGGATCCTCCTGGGTGGCTGCTGTTGCCAGGTTGGCAAAGTCAAAGCGGGGCTTATTTTTGGAGCTATGCAGCAGCCCTGCTGAGTCCTGCCGAGGCTGCAGGAGGTGGGGGAACAAGGGAATGGAGGCCATGGAGGAGAACTGGGCAGGCAGCTTTGAGATGGTGCAGCGGGGGAGGGCGAGCGGAGGGTAGCCGAGGGTCCACTGGTGGAGGTGGATGGCATGCAGAGCACTGAAGCTGTAGATGCTGTGAAAGTTATCTGCTGGCAGCTGGAGGCCTGTGGAACTCTGCAGGATGGAGTAGTTGGCCAGCTGGAGGGACGGGTGGAGGGGGACCGGTGCTGGCAGGGTCTTACTGCCCATGGCTGCTCAAAGAAACCCAACAGGCGTCCTGGTGGAGACAGAGAACATGAACAGATGAAAATACGCAGCTTTAAAAGTCAGATAACACAGATGACTTTAAATCCACTGTAGAGGAAAGCTGGTCAGCTTCTCATCTTCCCTCAGTGTGAATGAGTTCATCACCAACAGTCCACTTTTCAGTCCAATTTTACTGTTGTTTCATCCCAGAGCCAAAAGTCGCTCGCACATTACAAACGCTGCAAAAGGTTCAAAATACATCATGCCTTACTTACTGAAAGCCAGCAATGATGCAACCCTGATATCCCAGAGTGTGACCAATAGAGCCACACACACACACACACACACACACACACACACACACACACACACACACACACACACACACACAGCTGTTCCACCCCACCCACTCTGAGACATCACATTGCCAACATCCACCACCCTGCTGCACCCATTCTGTCTCTGTTACTACCTTTGACAGTGTAACTGAGGTGGAATAAAACCATCGACCTTTACACTATTATGCAAATAGCATGTTTCTGCAGACCCAGAGGCTGTAATCCTGAGGCTGCAATCCTGAGACCCTTGTTGTTTGCAGTGGTACTTCTGAATGGACTCCAGATGAATGACAAAGAAAGAGTTGGTAAAGCTAACCCCAATGCTTGCAAAGGTACCAGATGTGTGGTCCTTGAGCTTCAGCCCTGAAACTGCAGCCTCTGGCTCTGCAGATGCATAATATTGTACTGCACTAGAGCCCATTGTTTTGCATTTTTGTTTATAACCAGGAGATGTCAGAATGTTAAAGAACAAACTGAGAACCACATTGTGAACCAACATTTACAGATTTATCCTGATGTAAGACCAGGTCCCCCACCCCTAAAATCACTCTCAGCTCTAAATAACACCTATGTGAAAAAAGAGCCCCTCTTTGATATGCATTTTACTACAGAATCTACTTCACACCCCCCACTTTACAAAAACATTAGGACCTTATCAATGCAACACAACTGCACACAGACACACTTTTATCAGGGGCCACTACACATCCAGTCCAGCTGCTGATAAACCCAGGGGGAGGGGGGTCAATGGGGGGGGGGGGGTGTTCATTATCAGATGATTAGGTCTGTGACTGTAAAAGGCTGTGGCTGTTTGATCTGCAAACACTAAAGTCTGTATGGATGCAGACCAGCAAGTTTTTAAACATTTAAAAATGCAGAACCTTTCCAACATGTGCATATGCTTTTTGATGACTACATCTTGACTTTATAAAGGAAATAATGTGATCATCAAAACACTTAAGGGTAAAACACATGAAATAAAAGAGGGTGTGTTTTTTCGAAAATGTTTTTAATACATTAGTTCCAGTGTCTTTGTATGAATGAAGCACTTGCAGTTCAGGTATTTATCATTACAAGCACAAACATTCAATAAATTGTCATTTATCGCTACTAATCTTGGAGTTGGAGCCAAATATCTGTTGAAGACATTTTTATTTGTCCTTTAAGTCAGTTTTCTGTTGTTGATTTTATGAAATCAATCGTTTAAAACTCTTCTTCAACTAAACTCTAAACTTTAAGCCTTTCCTGATTTGATTTGAACTTCAGTTTTCATCGTTTTTAATTGTTTAAAAAAAACTTTTATTTACTTGAGTTCTGGTAAAATGGATTTTATGTCTCTCCTGTTTTAGTTTCTTGATATATTTCTTGTGTGTTTTTACAACCACGTTTTATTTTGCTGCTCTTGGTCCATTGGTTTTTAAGGGAGCTCTTTTAATTAAGTTTTTTATTTATATCTTTATTAATTTGGTCACTCAGCACTGAGTTGAGCTTTGGCTTGAGATGGGCATAAAGCCAAGATGATTGAGGGCAGGTGTAGAAGGTGAAACTGTTTTTTTGACCATGTTGAAAGGTGGAGATTTTCAGAAGTTATCCATATTTTGTATGTTTTTTTTCTTCCAAAACAAGAAACCATATGATTGGACATGTAAATGAAAAGATCAATGAATCCATTTTGGTATTTGGATTTTTGCAAGTAATGGCAGGATAAGAGTTTGGGCGAGAGTTTCATAAGCCATAAACTGTATGAAACATTCACACAGTCTTGGCTACATCAGCCATTTGTTTCTGAAACTGAGATTTGAAGCCAAACAATGACACTCACTAACACAACCAAACATTCAGTCAACATGTTATGAGGCAAAGAGGTGGATAAGAAGCCTAAAGTTTCCATGGTAACGACCACAGTGTGCCCACCTGTCACTCAAATCAGCTGTGCTTTGAATCATACAAAACTCTTGACCTGATTATCTTCAAACTGTTGCATCACGAAAAAGAAAAAATGAAAATCAAGCAGTGTGTGTGTGTGTGCGTGTGTAGAAAGAAACCAACTCTGTTATTTTAAACCAGCCTGTAAACATGTGTATTTCCCCTCTGAAGTTTTGCTTTTTAATTGTGTATGTGGTTTCTAGGGCTTTTGCAGCCAGCCTCTAGTGGGCACTCAAGGAAGTGCAGTTTGTGACATGACTGCACTGACTTGACTTTTGAAGGAGGTTGCTGCCTGGTGTAAAGTCAGGAAAATGTCCGGAGTTTGTTCTCCAGGCAGGACAGGAGTCAGACAAGCACTGTTTGTCCTCACAAGTGTATAAAGACCCCGACACAGTGTGTGTGTGTGTGTGTGTGTGTGTGTGTGTGTGTGTGTGTGTGTGTGTGGGTGCGTGCGTGTGTGTGTGTGTGTGTGTGTGTGTGTGTGTGTCAGCGAAAGTGAACACAAAACAATTTGCAGCTTTAACACACACATACTTCTTTTTTTTTCTGCCATACACATCCGTGTGTGAGTGTATGTGTGTCTTTTAGCATGTTTGTGTGGGGGTGTTTCCTGTTCCCAGAAACACGCCTGGGGCTGTTGAGGGCAGAGACAGAGAGAGAGAATGACAGCATTGAGCTGGAGAAATACCTGTGAGCTGTTAAATCAGGTTTGATAAGCAGGAATAACAATAGACAATAATGTATCTTTGTCTGAGGCAGACGCTGATGGACAGGAGCCACCGCTGCTCCAAGTCTGTGTTCTTCCACAGGCCACGTGCCCTCGCTGTGTCAGCTCCCACAGTAAACCTGTTTGCTGCTGCAGGACGTGTTCTTGCTCAGGTGTTGCTTTTCCCTCTGATTCAGCATTTATATTCAGAGGAAAAACACACTTGACTTTTCGGGACTCCAGTTTGCGTACTTATCTTAAAGGGGAACACCTGGGCCCCATTTTTACAAATTTTGGGCTGTTAATGAATGATAATGACAAAACGTTTTGAACTGCAGCGGTAGACAGTTCTGCAGTCAGGAAACAGGGGGTAATGGCTGCAAAGTCATCCCTCGGGGTGAACATACCTGATCAAAGTGAGCCCAAAAGTGCTCATTTCTGACACAGACAGCAGGATCAGGATGTTATTCTATGAGCATCGCCTGAAATGAAAGACTATGAGACACTGAGACTGAGCGGATTTTTATCGTGAACTGACGAGATGATTTTTGCAGAAACTGCAGTTTTGACGCTCTCCTCAAAGCTGCAAGACCTAACTGGCCATCAAACCATCAACCATCAATACTCATGAAACTTGGGAGTCGTTCCCTCTGTTCTGCTCATGCAATTTTAAAATTTATACACATATCAAATAATTAGACTATTAAACTCCTCTTCTACCCCTCTTGCTCTTCCAGAGAGTGTTAGTTTCAGTTAAAGATGTCTCCTAATGCTGCAAAATCTGATGCAGTGTCCAAACTACCGAACTGTAAAAAAATCCTTTCATGATAATAAGCCAGTAAAATAAAAGAGAGGGTACACTCAGCCAATGAATGAGTACTCCAACTTCGCACAGCATCAAGTTTTGCCTTTTCTTTAAATGTAAAAATTTGGTTTTCCTTAAAAAAGTTTGGTACTTTTACTGTTAACATCTGGGTTTTATTTATTTTTAACAAAATGAGATAAAAGTTTAGAAACGCGCATGAGAATAATGTCTTGGAGTAAACTATGGCATTGAATTTGAGATATTTCTTCTTGATAATGTGTTTTAGTCTCTGCCTTAGGATTTATTTTCGTGTCCCTCACTTAATATAAGAGTAATTAATCTATACACATAATTTCTACTTCTGTTTTTCTTTTTTTTCTTCTTTTTTTTTTTTTTTTACCAAATTTGTGACAAAATCAGTCATCTAAACTAATTCCCAACGTCTAGATGTGGACTCAAACAAGTCATTTGGACAAGCATGAATAAAGTTGTGGACTTCTGAGTGAGGCGCTACATTATAAACCTGAATACTGAACCTCTAGAGGACTCACAGTGGTGTCAGGTGGGAAAAGTTCAGGATGCAAAACTTCAGCATTCATAAATTAATTTAAAAGTTTGAGAATTTTGGTTTGAAAGCATGTTGCAGCTGTTTGGTTTTAAAAACTGACTTTAAATAGATTCTCATGTGAATAAAGACTTTGGTTTATTGAAATCTTTTGTTGCTATAAACTGATAAAATCTCTAAGTGAATAAGAAGGGTCAAAATTCATATTTAATACTCAGTAAACAAATCTTTTTAGTGATAGGCCGATGAATTAGTGACAGAAAGGAGGAATGCAGCCTGTGAGTCAGTGGAAAAACATGAGTGGGCGCTACACGGTTTTATGAGGACATGTTCTGTGTATGAACTCTTTCTACTGGAGGAAAACCTGGTATCTCCAAACTAATCACAATTGAAAAAAAAAAAAAACAGTGCGAGTCAAAGTTTGAGAAAAATGTGCAGGATTATAAATTAATTTGTGAGTGTGAGATGCTGTTATAAGTTTTCATTAAATCACCACCTGCTCAGCTGAAACAGAGCCACTCAAACAAACAATTATTTCATCAAATAAACTGATTTCAGGTCAGCCAGGAGGAGCATTTTATTGCTTTAGGGCATGAATCTGCAGAAAGTTTATAAGGTTGTGCTGATGAATGAAAAGGAGTCTGATAAGAGAGGAACATTTCCAGTTTGATGCAAGCAGTGGAGGTTTGAGTAAAGGGGCAGATGAAGTTTAAAACAGCCTAACCCTGATCCTGAGGCCGGGCCGCTCCTCCACTGAGCTCCGGTGAAGTGTTTGTAATGAAGGGCAGCGGAGCTGTAACAGCCCCCTGCAGTCTGTTCCTCTCTGATCATAACGCAGAAGTAATTGACTTTTACTTAGGAGGTCATTAGAGGAGATAAGTGCAGCGCTGCTGAGCCTCTGCTCACCTTTAACCCTTTGATGTCTGCATACCAGGGGCCTCTGCGGCCGCACTGCCATGTGGCCCTGAGTTTGGGTCAGGGCTGTGAGATTCAGCGCCTCAGAAGACCTCGATGTGACGACTGAGACGCTGCAGCTTCTCACCTCAGTGTAAACGTGATCAGGCTGAGTGCTCCACAGACACGAGTATTGATAGTGTTGAGTTTCTTACTGCTGCAGAGCTCAGCGAGGGAGAAACTGTCTCTGAACTATGGGGTGGGGGGGGGGGGGGGGGGGGCTGAGGACACTGCTCAGGTCTGGTGGGGTTTGTAAAATTATTATTATTATTATTATTTTAAAGCAAGGAGGTGAAATTTGTGCTTTTGTTGCTAAAACATAAACTGAGCGAATTGTTTTGAGCATTTTTCTCTCTTTGTCACCCAATACAGGAAAATCCCCTCATTTTTGTGCTCTAAAATAACTAATTAAGACAATCTGCAGTAAAAAGGACAGAAAATCCTTCATTGTAATGGAGATGATTGTGACTAGACAGGACCACCACTCCAACTGTAACCTAAGTGAGCATGCACAATTTGTAAAACGTGCACCCCAGCAGTAAAACTCCATTTCTAAACAAAGGGTGTGCTTCTGTTCTACAGTTGAAGGCAGCAGGTCACAGGCGTTTGACCTCTGACCTCTTCAAATCAAACTCTGGAATCTTTCTTGTTTCATGTTTCTTGCCTAGTACGACCATCAGAGTCCAAGAAAAAGTCCAGTATTTAGATGATGACAAGAAAAAGGCAAAAATTAGACTTAAGGAGAAAAAGAAATAATCTACAGGAGTTGTTTTGTGCAACAAAACCCCCAAAAGACCCTCTGCTGAACTCTCCAAAGTCATGATCTTCTGGTTTGAACTCTTTTGCAAAGAAAATCTGTGTCTCACGCTAAGTGATCAGGACTTTCAGATGACACAGTAAAAAGAGAAGTCTTCAAAAGAGCTAAAAGATTAGAAACAAAAAGGACAGTCTATGTTTGAATTCTTTATCATTTCAGCTTGAATGCTACTGAATGAAAACCTGTCCATGCACCAGGTGTCTCAGACTACCTGTTCGGTTGTCGTAGGTTTTGCACAAGAGGTCAGGTCACAGTGGTGTGGTCAAACATGAGGCCTGAAACATTCAATATCCAGGTTTTCTGCAGCTGTAGGGCACGCTCAAGCGCTCCAGAGCACTCCTTCACCCTGCAGCAAAAATAATCTTTAATTCAAATCCGTTCTCATAATACATTTTAATTTGACACTGTGACACTCCACAGGTGGACTAAGATTCTGCCCCGGCTGCAGGTATGAACTAATGCATGCTCAGAGCCTGCACGGTTTTCGGTTTACATCACAATATGGAATCATTTCTGCTACCTTTGAATTCTTGTCAGAAAGAGAAGCTGTTCCGTCAGAGAGATCACTGACCTGCTCCCAAGAAAACCTCCTCTTGTTTTCCTTCACTCTAATGATGTTTAGTTTTTAAATCTGGAGCAGCGACCTGTGTTTGCTGTCATATTTCACCCTGCAGACGTTTATCCCTGAAACCTTTTTTTTTCTTTTTCCTCCTGCAAACAGGTGGAAATGTTCAAGCTGCTGCAACAGATAAACCCTACAGAAGAGTAAGAAGGTTCAACTTCAGGTTAAGGAATGTTTGAAACTGTTGGAGTGTTGAGTTAACTGCAGCACTGAAAAAATAAATAAATAAATAATGAAAACAGTCTCTAGTCAAATATAACAAAAAGTTTGACTTTTGACATTAAGTTCAGAAGTGAATCTTTCACTTTTCACTCAACTCGCCTTTTCACTGGTTTCATCTGCTGCATAAACTCTCAGAAAGTTAAAACCTTTCAGTCGATTTTGAAGGTGATGAAAGAGGAATTGGGATTTGGGAATTTTGAATCATCAACATGAAACTCTGCATCATTTATTTAGCTTATTCAGAGGGATGAATCAAACATTTCTTCAATTAAAAACATGCTGGACCCTAAGTTGAGGAGCGTGTTAATGATTTCACCTCAGCAGTGTAAAAAAAAATTCAAACTTTAAAAGTAAGTCTCTTTACAACTTTAAAATGTAAAGTGGAATTAATTTAGATAATTAAGAGACAGACAGTTTTTCAAATTTGAATTAAAAAAAAACAAAACATTTTTCCAGGTCCAGTTGGATTTTTTTTTCTTAACCTTGCACTTAAACTGTTCTTAAGTCTTTTTTCTTTTTAGTCAAACTTTCAGCCATAAAACAAAGTCAGCATCTTCATTAGATGTCATAATAACTGAATGTTTCTATTTGAGTCACCTTTATTATGAAGTGAATCCTCTTGACTCATCATCTTAAGTTCAATTACATAATTTTTCTAATTTATTAAAACTCATTATTTGCACAAAAGATCGAGTTGTGCCAAAAAATACAGTAAATTCCTCTTAATATGATAATGAATCTCTGGGGACTGTTTGGACTTGAAAACTGTTCAAAGACTCAGAGTGTCTGAGTCCTCTGGCAGCGCCTCTCCTGCTCGTAATCCTCACAGACTTGAGGTGCTGACCCGTCAGACCTTCATTACAGACCCTCTTTTCTAATGGATCAGGGCTTGATCAGATCCGGGTCTTCATTACGCGGAGCAGGATCATTAATTAGTGCAACACTGAGACGGTCCGAGTGTTGAAGCTGTTAAAGGTGAGGTGATCTTCACACACCTCTGTGGGGATGTTTATTCAGTCAACACGCGCTCATTGTGCGGCCTGTTTCTTTATAAACCTTTAACACTTTGGTTCAATGAGAGTCATCAAAGCGAGCCAACGGCCGGGGAAGTCTAAGGATTATCGAGCCAAACACAGAGTTAAATCTGTATTTTTTTGTCTAGATTTTGTAGATTTTTGATCATTTTTAATTAACACAACGACAGCGTGCTGATAAACTCATAAACTGAGTCTTATTCGAGCGTCAAAAAGGGAGAAAAATGCTTTCCCAAACTTTATTCCTGCAGATCTGCCGAGGAGAAACTTTTCTAAATGAATTTATGGATCCAAATATCCACCAAAAAAATTAAATATTTCATGAATTATTATTAACCTCTAACGCATCTCACATTTGATCGAGCTGTTATAATTTCAACTCATTTTATATCCATTTTAATAAGCATCAACGCACTCAGTTACGCAAAGACCTTCAAGAACATGCTACACCTGTTGCACAAACTCCTCAAACTCTTCCAAACTCTTTAGGGCTTTAAAAAGCTGACATACTTGGACAAGTGTGTAAAAAAAATAAAACATCTTGATCTGTTAAGATCTCTTTTTGCTTGATAAAATTAACACACTGAGACAGGACAAAGTTTCCTCTCTCTGTGTCCGGTGAAATGATTTATCTCCTCAAACATAAGAACAAATCAAGACTCACCAGTTACGGAAGTTTTTTTAAAGCTCCGTCTCCAGTCGGGGGTCGTGGCGGTGGTTCAAGCCGTTGGGGCCCCGCTAGTAGCCTCGTTTCTCGGTGGATGAGTTAATGAGACGGCAGGAGCGGCAGCATGTTCCCGGCAGCAACGGGTCTCCCGGTGAGAACGCACAGAAACTTTCGGAGCCGAGTGGAGAAAGCGTTGTGGGGGTGCTGCTTTGTGGTCGCGGTGTTGGTGGTGATGTTGTTGTTGGTGGTGATGGTGGTGTTGTTGCGGTGTCAGGCCGCCTCTCTCTCCCTACTCTACTGTTATGCGCTCTCCGCTGCCCGTTGCCTCTTTATTACAGCGCAGAGTCCGACTCCTACCGGTGCGTCACTCAGCCAGCCCACAGACACTCAACACACACTGAACACACAGAACAGAAACACACTACACACACAGCAGGATGCAGAACATCAGTGTGCTATATGATCCTGTACAGTGTCAGACAGGAAACAGGCGCGGGAGCTGGAGCTTTATGTGGGCGCAGTGGACCGGCTGTGAGGAGCGGTGCGCTAAAATGACACCAAAAGTTTTTATATCTGTTCATTGCAATTAAAATGTTTGAAAACTGTTGCAGGAATGATTGTGGAAAGTGTTTAATCACCTCTACTAAAATGAGGTGACTATTTTGGTTTGTTGACTTTGGTTTGTTCAAGTCTGATTGGTGAGTTTTGTCCCCAAACTCTTCTAAAATTCGACAGAGAAATCAAGTGCAGCAGTCGAGCGAACACATCACACAAGTGCGCCTTTTGGGTACTCAAACCATGTTTCCAGGTATCACCGGGTAATAAGTGGCTAAAGCGTATTTTGAATTTTTTAAAAAACATATCTGTTAAACACATGTAACATGAAAGAAATGAGAATAAAATACTTAGGCGAACTTTTAGAGAATTTACTCTAGAGTTTCATATATTTGTGCACTATTTAAAAGTATCAGGTGACTGTAATCTTCATTAAGAGGTTGCAAAAGTAGACTTAAAAGAAAAGAATCACAAAACTTCATATTTCAAAAGCAGAAGATTAAAAGCAATGATGTCAACAAACTGAGTGATCAGAATGAAAAAAACCTTAACTATCTGGGAGATAAACATATTATCAGTTCTTGGTTATATTAGTTTCCTCTTGTTGTTCCAGAGCAGTGGGTCAGATTTGAAACCCGCCTGCAGATTCTAGTTAATTTTGGTCAATAATACAAATTCATCTCTGAAACATCCTTTAGTTTAGTCCAGTCTTGCAGCCTCCCTGTCTGTGCCCTTTTTTTTAAGGTTAATAAATCTTACCAAAATATCTTTTGAGCATTAGACAGTTTAAATGTACGACATTATGTCTGTCATCCTGCTACCTGCAAACATAAATGTTGGTTTTTATCCAGTATCAGTTTTTGTGTATTTTTTATGATGCAAAAAAGCCTTTCCATGCAATTTTTAATCCAAGTGCAATAACTTAAATGTGCAACAATAGCCCTTTAACGTACCAACCAGGTTTTTCTGCACAAAGGACTGCAGTGATTACAGATAAATGGACACATGGATGACTGCATGCAAGGTTTTGGTGGATTTTCGTGTTTTCTGCCTCAGAGAAGCACAGAAATATGGTTATAAAAAACAAAGAATACAGTCTGTCCTTCATACAAGAGAGTTAGTGTCTGCTTCATGCTTAACTGTCACTCCTGCGGTGGGTGCACTTTAATAACTGCTGGTGATCATGTAGGAAGACTGCACAGGACTGTTTGTTAACAAGTTAGCACAAATTGTGCAAGCTTTTTTCTTTTGTGTGTCTGTAATTATGTGAAATAATAATGAACCCTGAAGGCCTCACAAATCAGCAGGGAGGCTGCAGGACTGTCAGTACAGACACAGGCTTCATCTGAAGATGCTTAATCTTTATTGACTATAATAAAAAAAAGCTGATTTTTTTTTATTCTTGTGTTACCTGCAACGTTTACAAACAAGATCATGAAGACTTTAACTTTATTCCTGCAAACATCAAGAAACTAGTTTTAGTACAGTACCTTGCAAAGAACAAACTGAAGAAAAAAATAATTAAATTGAAATAATAAATCCGTCACATGTGACAGAAAAACACCTGGTCCACAGCCACACAAAAAAAGAAGTTTGAAAGTGAATTTTAGACCCCTGATCCTGAAAAGGTGTCACTTTCAGGCCCATTAACCTTTTCCTTGAAGAAGTACAAAAAAGGAAAAGTCTGTACAGGTGGTCAAAGGGTAATGAGGATGCAAAAAACGTACAGATCCATGACATGTTGTACATATTTCAAATATTTACCCAAGAAAAAGGAGACTAAAGATAAAATTAAATTACAGTCTGTATGACAGAAACTAAATACCATCTAATTTAATGTGATTACAGTAATATCTAGATAGAAATGAACAAGTGCCTTTGTTTCTGAATATTTATAAAGATAATGGACAATTGGTGTCTTTGTGTTGAGGTGAGTTTTACAGGTTCATGTCTTGCTGGATGTCAGGTTGAGGTGCGCTGAGCTGAATAAACAGTGAAATGAACAAAATCTGCCCTCTGCTGGACAAACTTGTTTTGCCTTTCTTCTTGAACACAGCCTGCCTGTCAAACCATTTCCTAAACTTCATGTCTGTTTCTGTTTTCTTAGTGGTGATGAACCTAATGAAAAATACCTGTGCACAAACCTGTTCATCTTTTCTCTCACTGTACTATCATATTATATCTTATTGTATTGTGTCTAATCCAATTATATAACTTCTCTCATCTTTGCTTGTTTCACTGTTTTAAATTGTGTCATAAATTGTTTTACATCCTATTGCATACATACTTTATCATATGGTATTAAATCATACTGTACTATGTTTTTGTTGTTGTTTTTGTTTGTTTGTTTGTTTGTTTGTTTGTTTTATTTTGTATGGTATAATGTCATTTCAAATTCTACTATATCGTATCTTGACATATTCAAGTTTCTTGCTTTTTTATTGTCAGTTTCTGCAGACTGTGGGTACACTGTGGGATGATGAAAGCCCCCTGAAAAAAAATGTCTGATATAATTTCTTTTATCATTAATTCTGAGAAAAAAAGTAATAATTCAGAAATTAAAGTCAGAATTCTGAGTTTAAATTAAGAATTCTATAAAAATCAGAATTCTGAGATTAAAGTCAGAATTCTGACTTTTTTCTCAGATTTGTGACTTTAATCTCAAAATTCTGAGATTAAAGTCAGAATTCCATTGAGTTAGAATTCTGAGATCAAAGTCAGATTTCTGAGATCGAGTCAGAACTTCATGAGTCAGACTTCTAACTTTTTTTTCAGAATTCTGATTTTAATTTCAGAATTCTGAGATAAAAGTCATAATTCCATCAAAATCAGATTTCAGAGGAAAAAAAAAACAGAATTCTGACTTTGAATTTAAAATTCTGCCTTTTATCATGGAATTCCAACTTTTGTCTTTAATGTCTGATTTACATGGAATTCTGACTTTAATCTCAGAATTCTTATATCAAATTTAGAATTCTGAGAAAAAAGTGGCTACACCAGAGGATGATAAAGGCCCCTGAAAAAAAAAAGTAAAAATCCAAGATTAAAGTCAGAATTTTATAATAATGAATTCTGAGATCAAAATCAGAATTCCATTAAAGTCAATATTCTGAGATTAAAGTAAAAATTCTGAGAACAAAGGAAGAGTTCCATTTAAATCAGAAATCTGAGATTAAAGTCAAGATTCTATTATAATCAGGATTCTAAGATTAAGGGCTCTATTTTCGAGTATGCCCGTGAGGCGGTGGAGGGCGGCGAGCCCCGCGCAGTTGTATTTTCATCTGGCGCAGCCTGGCATACAGCCAGTTTGGTATTTTCGTGGACTGAGCCGCACGGAGGCGAACCGAGATCCGCCAAGCTGGGCGTGGTGGCATGGCAGGGGGAGGTGTCGACAGAATCAGCAGGCGCAGTGACATTTTCGTGTGTAAAGTGCGCTGAAAGCGCGCCGATTCAAACCTGGTCAGCTTTCAGCGCATGGCGGAGCGCAGCTGGTCTAGAGGTATTTTGGTAGACCGGCGGCGTATCGGCATACGTCACTGATGCCTCACCGGCAGGTTTCCACAGTGTCAGGCACATTTCAGTGCAATAAATAATCATCAACAACTAATAATCTGAGTCAGCACATACATTTAGATCTATATAGATATATTCTGATCTATATCTGATCTGATGAGCGCGTTTGGCACGCGTTTGGACACACAACCTGACCGAATCAACACAGCTGAAACCGCATCAAATTAAATTAAATATCTAGTAAATAGACACACATGATGAAGTTAACTAGATATGTAATTCGTCTCCCTCCTTTTCTATCTTCCTCTTCCTCTTATTTCTCGCACAGCTCGACCTGGACACGTCTCTGTGTCCTCTTCCTGTGCTGCTGCTGCTGCAGCTGCAGCGGCTGAGCAGATGATTTGTTTCCGTGATCAGATGCGTTATCTACTTTAAGCCGACATACGAATATTATAATATTCAGTTTTGTGGGCCAAATATTTTGTATGCCAACATCTATGAAAGAAAGAGCCAGGCCACGGAGCGCGATGCGTCATTTACGCACAGATGGTTCCGATTTTAATGCCATTTTTGGAGTTAATGTTGTGATCTGTGCGCACAACCCACCTTTGTCACGTGAGGTTTAAATATATTCAACTTATTGTGAGTGTCTTTATTTGTGGAAAAGGGTGTTTTTCTTACCAGTGGGTCCAACATTACACATACCAAATCCATCTGTGCTCATATGAGAGAGTGTGGAGGACGCCCAATGCAGCACTTACAGTGACACTTGTTGAGGAGCTGCCCTCTGTCGCCATCTTGTGGCATTGCTGTCTTCAGACATCTCTTGATCTCTCTGACTACTTCACGAAAATACTAATACACCTCGCCGGTGGCGGATTTAAAGGCAAGGAGAGGAGCTTATGTGATTGGTAAAAACAGGTCTCGGCTGTGTTAAAACCACTCCACGACCTCTCTCCTCCCTCGCAACGATTTACGCCGCTGGGAGGAGCTGAGTTAGGGAGGGGTGATACTTACGCCGGGCTGCGCTGCTCACCAAAATACCAAATTGTGCTTGGGAACATCTTGTTGGCGCGGCAGATCTGACTTACGCCGCGCTTGCGGCACGTCTCCGGCGAGGCATGAAAATAGATCCCTAAGTCTGAATTCTGCCTTTTTTTCAGAATTCCGACTTTAATCACAGAATTTTGAGACAAAAGTTAGAGTTTCATGAAAGTCAGAATTTTGAGATAAGAGTCAGAATTCTGCCAAAGTCAGAATTCTGAGATCAAAGTCAGAATTCTATTAAATGTTGAATTCTGAGATGAGAGTCAGATTTCTCAGATCAGCATCAGAATTCTGAGATTAAAGTCAGAAAACTGAGATTGAAGTCAGAATTTCAATTTGAGTCAGTATTCTGAGATTAACATCAGAATTCTGAGATCAAAGTCAAAATTCTGTTTAAATCAGAGTTTCATTTAAGTTTAA